AAGACCGGCCTGCTTTTTGTGCCAACAGTCATTGACCGGCGTACAGTAGAGCTGCGTCTCACCGAGAACTTCATCACGTCGGTAAGGAGGAGGGACTTTGCAAACATGACAAGTCTCCTGCACCTGACGCTGTCCCGCAATACCATCAGCCAGATTATGCCTTACACTTTTGCCGATCTTAAGCGGCTGCGTGCGCTGCACCTAGACAGCAACCGCCTGAACATCATCACGGATGACCACTTCCGAGGACTCACCAACCTCCGGCACCTTATCCTTGCCAACAATCAACTGCACAACATCTCCCCACATGCGTTTGATGACTTTTTGGGGACTCTTGAAGACCTGGATCTCTCGTACAATAACCTGGTGGACATCCCTTGGGAGACTATAGGACGCCTCACCAATGTGAACACTCTCAACATGGACCATAACCTCATAGAGAACGTCCCTCTTGGAGTCTTTTCGAACCTACACAAACTAGCCCGTTTGGATATGACATCCAACAAGCTAAAGAAAATACCCCCTGATCCCTTGTTCCTTAGGATACCAGTTTATGCCAAGTCAAAAGGGTCACCCCTTTCCTCCCTCGTCCTAAGTTTTGGAGGGAACCCACTACATTGTAACTGTGAACTACTCTGGCTAAGGAGGGTAACGAGGGAGGATGACCTGGAAACTTGCGCGTCACCACCAGACCTTACGGCAAAGTACTTTTGGACTATCCCAGAGGAGGAGTTCATCTGTGATCCCCCTGTGATTACAAGAAAATCTCCCAAAACCTTCACCATGGAGGGCCAGCCCACCAGTCTTAAATGCAAGGCCAATGGGGACCCAGACCCAGACATTCACTGGATATCCCCAGAGGGCCGTCTAATCTCTAACACTTCCCGTACTTTAAGCTTTAGCAATGGGAGCTTGGAGATCAACATCACTTCAATGAAGGATACAGGAGTCTTCACCTGCATTGCATCTAATGCCGCGGGGGAATCTACAGGCACGGTGGAGTTGGTGGTCAACCCGCTGCCACACTTAGCTAACAGCACTAACCGAATCCGAGAACCTGATCCAGGACCATCCGATATTCTAACCTCTGCAAAGTCGACTTCATCCGTAAGCAATGAGACCAGGTCTCAGGAGAGGAAGGTGGTACTTGCTGAACTCACGGCAAATTCTGCACTCATCAGGTGGCCTTCACAACAACATTTCCCTGGAATCAGGATGTATCAGGTTCAGTACAACAGCTCGGCAGATGACACTTTGGTTTACAGGTAAGAAGCCTCATTGTTTTGTGAATTGAAAATGTAATTACATGTATAGTAGTGCAACTGGTTGTGCTAGCGTAG